GGGAGGGGCCAAACATGGCACCCTGTCAACTAAAAAACCACAAATGGTTCCAAAACAAAGAAAAATAAAAAAATACATTACATACTTAAATAAAAAGTCTAACTGTGCCGAAATATATAATATCAGGTGGCTATAAAGTGACCCAATTTAGTCTTGCCTCTGTCTCTAGTTCTAGGGAATGAGCAAGCTAATAAGCTAGTAAGATGATTGTCATTGTCAGAAGTAACTAATGTATCATCCAATATATTCCCGAGCTGAAGTCGGCCTCCATTCTTCTTCTTCCTCTTGGAATAGACCTGTCATTCCTCTTCCGAAGAATCAGTCTGATGGGGTGGTAGAGCTGAAGCAGGAGGAATACCAACCGTAGTACCCACAATAGGTTCTAGTATATGTGAAGTATGAGTTGTCTCAACACCGGATACTTTCTGAAAAAGTGGAGCTACGAGGCTCTCTTGATTATCAGTCTGAACACTATTATTTATAGGTAATAGTCCATCAGTATTGTTTTCTCTGGGGTTTGAAGGTGCCAACATCACATCACTCACAGTAAAAGTAACAACGGTGTCATGGGGGGTCCTCAGGGGCAACAGACACTTCATGTCTGGTAGTATCCTCCCCAGGTTGAACTAAAATGTCCAGAGTAGTGGGGTTAGACCCATCCTTATTCACTTGAACCTTAATTTTCAAATTTCAAATTAGGATGGAGGGATGGAGTTTGTGGCATTTATCAAGGATATGACCAAACATCTTACAGTGGGTACAATATGGGGGTCTAACTTCAATAACATCCGATAAAGTAATAACCCTTTCCATAAGTCTTCTGGTCACCGATGGTCTGGTTAGATTGAAAGTAGGCACATCTAACTTCAAAGAATCACCTATGATGGCCCCAATAAAGTAGAGACCTGATGGTGAAAAAAATGCAGTTTGAGGCCAGGTAAACTAAATCATACCTGTACAGTGGAAGTTACATGAATTGGGTCGAAATCAGGAGACCACTTGAGTAACTCCATAGATTTTCGTACGATATTAAGATATTTCTTGGAGAAAATTCTAGTGTAGTCTTCAGCCATTGTTAGTTGGATCAACACGTCTCCCATCCATAAGTCTCACTTTCTACTTGCTTTTACTAGCTTAAGATTATCTGCACTCTTTCTGATAACATTCATAGGTGGGTGTCTCCATTGAAATTTTCCAATAAGAGCAAACTTGAATTTTTTGTGCATGGTAGAAATTTCCGAGTCAGAGAAAAAAAATATTGTTTTTCAGTCTTTCCTACTTCTCTTCTTAACAAAAGGGCAATCATCTGTATCATCGCGACATTCCTTATAGCTTGAGAAGATTACCACCGTGGACTCCACCTGAGGGTTTCCCACCACGTGGGCAAAGGAGGTCTTCGTCGATTCAGCCAAAGAATAAGCAAGTGTCATCAGAGCAAGGGGATGTGTCAGCCGTCACCTGCAACGAGAAGCTTGTGTCAGGCTGGAGAGAAAGACGGGCGCAGAAGCAAAACAGAAGAATTGTTGTCGGACCAGAGAGAAGCATTGTCGCAGACACGAATAGAAGAGGCGTCGAAAATGAAGGAGAGAACTGTCGGGCGCAACAAGCAGAGCCGCAGCGTCGAAACTGGACGCCGACGCAGAAAAATGAGCCGCGGAACTTGCAGCTCGACGAGGTCGACGTAGAAGTTGGCGCGAGGGAGAGACGACGAAGCCGCAGAATCCAGAATGCCTACGTCGTTCTTGACAATCGCGGAAAACGAACGCGGAATTCGCCGTCGAGTAAGAGAAATTCTGGAAAGCCAAAGACTATACCAGGGAATCGTCGTCGGGCGAAGCCCTTAGCGGAGCAGCCAGCCACCGTTATTCTATATATATATATATATATATATATATACTAGATAACTAAAGGGTGAGTGCTACTTCTACTGGTGGCGGCCCTAGACCCATAGGAGGGATCGGTCGACCCCTTTATTTGTCTTGTTGAACTGGTCCAAAGGGTTAGGGGAAGGAGCGTCTAGTTCAGGGATAGGCTCCACTTCACTTCCCCTCCTAAGATAACACTAGGGTGTTTATAGGAAATTATATAATAACTCAAGGCCACTAATTGCTAAATTATCCAAAATAAAACAATAAGGAAAAGAAAGATCTAAATGAAAACTTACAAGTACAAAGAAAGGATGCCCCTCAACCATTTCATCGAGCTTGAGTGAAGATCAGAATTTGATTCAATTACATTTTAATATATTGCTTTGATACAAGATAAGAAATAAGATCAGGTAGTGCATATGACAAAATTTTGATGTTATGTATATAATCCGTTATGTTTATTAGAAGCTCTACTGTTGAGTAAATAAAAACTTTTGAAATGCTAATGTTTAATTGAATTTTATTAATTTGTTAGACCCTTATAAGTAGCAATGGTATGATATGATAAGTTTGGTCATTTAAGGTTTTGAGTTTATCACTCGCGCTTATTTGGTGAGATGAGTTCAAGAAAGAGAGTTGGTGATATAGATTCAATCAACTAAGTCATAACCACCTCTATTACACCTATATAAAAACTCATTAAAAAAAATAGTTGAACTAGCAAACACTAGCTTGACTAAATCAATACTATTCAGTTCCATCTAAAATGAAATTACGTGAAAGAAACTAAACTACAATAAAGAGAAAGGGAAAAAGCAAGTGGGAGCAGAGCAAAGAAAGAGAAAGAAATAGAGTAAGTAAGGTAAGAAACAAAAAGAAAGAGTATAAAGCAATGGGAAGCTATGTCAAGCAAAAGAGAGAACAAGAGGGAACAGGCGATAGTGAGGGAGATCTAGCGAAAATGAAGACAATATCAAGACAATGAGTGAATAATCGAGACTAAGAGAAAATATAAATTTTTGTGTGTGTGTGTGTGCATCTCTCTATATATACATTATATATATATATATATATATATATATATGTGTCTATTAAAAGTGTTTTAACACACTCCTAATA